CAGGGTTTTATTTTTAAGGTGGCATAAGGTAAAGGTAAATGTAAAGGTTTTCCCCTGACAGTAAGTCCAGTTGTATCCGACTCTGGGGGTTGGTGCTCATCTCCATTTCTAAGCCAAAGAGCTGGCGTTGTCCATAGCCACCTCCAAGGTTATGTGGCCAGCATGACTGCATGGAGCACTGTTACCTTCCCACTGGAGCAGTACCTTTTGATCTACTCACATTTGTATGTTTTTGAACTGCTAGGTTGGCAGAAGATGGGGCTAACAATGGGAGCTCTTTCCATTTCCCAGATTTGAACCTGTGACCTTTCAGTGAGCAAGTTCAGCAGCTCAGCAGTTTAACCCACTGTGTCACTGGGGACATGTTTTCTTTTAATTCATTAATCAGTACAATTCATGGCCATTCAATGGCTGAAACTAGAACTTATTTCAAGAAAAATAAAGGCAACATTGATAGAGAAGGTGAAGTGCAGGGGTCAGAAGGTTAGATCAGACTTTGGACAATCCAGGTTTAGGACCCCACTAAGACATGGCAATATTATGTTCTTTAATATGAAAGGTTGGCATCTGTATTTTATTTTAGTCAATGTTGTGTATGGTTTTGAGAGAAAAGTTGAAAAATAAACAAAACCAGGCTCTCCAATAACTCTGTCTATGATGGCCTTCCTTGACCTAACAAATTCCAGATGCTGTGGACTTCAATTGCTATTTTTGGCTTATGGATTGTAGTTGAAAAACTTCAGAGAATCTCAGTTCGGATAAACCTTCTCTATGGTAATGGTTGCTATCAGATATAGGAATAATGGAATTGGCATTACTGTACTCTCTAGAGCAGTAGTTCTAATAGACTTAAACACCACTCTCTGTAATAAGGAATTGAAGTTTGAAGTACCTCCATTCAAGTGGCAAGAAATTGTTTTTCATTTTTATCTCTACAGTGATTAATCATATAATGTCCTGAACTCTGAGAATCGAGTGAGGCAGAATTACAGGCACTTGTAAATCACAGGTCCCCGGTTTATTAAATTGACAAAATAGAAAGTGTATCTCTTTCTAGGTTTTTCAAGGAAAACCTTTTGAATTATTGACACATCCTTAATTATCTGTTCGTAACTTTTGTAAATGCAGGAACCAGAAATTGTTCTTCCCCTACAAAACTCACTACAGGTAGTCCCAAATTTTCAGAAAAGATAGGCTCTGTAGATTTGTTCTTAAGTTTAATTTGTATGTAATTCAGAACAGGCACATTTTCCCCCTTGGTGTGCCCTTGTTCGGAATATTTCACCTCACTTTCTGTCCCTGCGATAATTGGATTTTGAAAAATGTGACTTGTGGAAACAAGGATTGGGTTTTTTTTATTGTGTCAGAAGTGAACTGACAATGTACTGCAAGTCACTTGCGGTGTGAGAGAATCAGCCGTCTACAGAGACGTTGCCCAGGGGAAACCCGGATGTGTTACATCCTTTGGGAGGCTTCTCTCGTGTCCCCACATGGGAAGCTCAGGCTGACTGGGAGTTCGCCCCATCTTGCGGATTCAATTCGCCGACCTCCAGGTCTTCAAGTCCACAGTTCAGCCAGCACAAGCGTTTAACCCATTGCAAGGATTGGTGATAAAGCTTCAGTGGAGACCCCTTTTCCCCATGATAACTCTTTCAGGAGTGACTTTCCCTTCCGAGGGGTAGATTTCTCTCACTTCCTTTTTTCTCAGCCACTTTCTTAACGAGTCATTTGGAAGATGGACATTTGTAACTTGGGGACAGTCTGTATTATACTTATCCATAGGGAAACTTTGGAATATTCATTTTTACATATTTCTGTATGAAAAGCCTGGTTTGTATAAATCAACACTTAGCCCTTTACCAAAATTTGCACTTCTCTAGTAGATACAATGCAGTTACAACAATGTAAACAGACTAAAATATGCCTTTAATACTTTCATATGCATTGCTAAACAGAATTTGAATTCTATGGAGCATTTTTAAGCAAAATTTGCTTAATGAAAAATGAAATTGAATAGATGTATGATTGTTTAAACTGCAAATGTAGGATATCTAAAATAGGTAGATATTTTACTATACTTGTAAAAAGGAAACAGTCATACCATAGTAAGGAAAAAAACATGACATTTTGAGTACTTGGAAGAAAAGAATGGCGTCAGTATTAAAACAATTAAAACCAATTAAAACCATAGTTAATGGTTGCTAGCATTCTTAAGGTCACGAATAGTCTTTAAAATATTATTGAAGGCATTTTAAATACAACTACACATTTTCATAACTACAGGATAGATGAGTTATTTACAAGTTTGAGGTTAAGTATGATAACAAGTAGTTTAATAATTAGACACTTACTCTTAATCTTGAGGGTCGAAATAACTTTCTAACCACTTAAAATCTCACCCTGGAAAGCTAGCCTGAAATCTTGGGAATGAAGCAACAGCTCCCAGACTCCTATGCTGGCTGGGGATTCTGTTAGCTGTGGTGCCAAAAGGGAACATTTCATAACTTTGGGATGAAGATACAGAAGATGCTATAACATCTTGGGATATTATAGTCCCATTATATACAGTGGTGTAGTAAAATGATGTCTCTTACATAAAATGACAAAATTAAAGTTTGGTTTTTAGATTTTTAGAAAGGATGCTTTCAAGTTGTGGATGTCTGAACCCATGGATACATTATCCATATCTACAGAGGTCTGTGATGGTATATTACGTAAAACATTGAAATCAATTAATTTTGTTTAAACTGTTCATATTGAATAGGTGGCCATGCTTAGTAGGAGATTTTGGAAATTGTAGTCCAAACACCTCCAAATTTTGCACATGCCACTTCCTTATAAAGATGATTTCAAAGAGGTTTCTGAGGAGGGGATTTTAATTGGGTTGAGTCTGTATTCCCAAAAATAATAATTAAATAGCTATCATTAATATGAATGAAACCAGATATGCCTGGTGCAGGGTTTCGTGAAAGTTGAGTGAGGCGTTGATCAGTTACTATGCTTGATTCCAAGGAAAAGATCAGAAGTGTTTACCAGTTTTTCACACAGTGTTCTCCTAGCCTTCCCCCTGCCCTTCAGTGATGATCATACTTTCTTTTCATATTTTTTTTTCATGCAGATAATTTATTTACTGTATTTATTTACTGTATTTATATACCGTCTTTCTCACCCCTGAGGGGACTCAAGACGGTTTGCAACATACTAGTGGCAAAAATTCAGTGCCAACATACAGTAAAACAAAGAAATCATAGTAACGAATCACTACATATAACTATGACTTAAAATCATTAACACTATTAAGGATAACACATAAACAAAATTTAAAAATTCAGACAAAGCAATAAAATCATCCTAGTATAAATATTAAAATCACATAATCCAATGTTTGAGTTTTTACAAATTTCTGAGCAGATATGCAGTAATGAATAAAAATATAATGGGCTTACTAGCAAAATCATACAGAGAGATGTAACAAAAATGTTTGACAGCCTGATATATGTTGTTATCAGAGGCCCTCCTCTCTGTCTCATTACCTTCTTGGACTTGTTTGGTGAAAACGAAGGAGAGGGCCTTCTTAGTGGCTGCTCCCAATCTTTGAAATGCCTTTCCTAAAGAGGCAAAGATAGCCTTGTCCTTGCTCTCCTTTTGCCAGTAAGTTAAAAATCTTATCTAACTGTTAGGTGTTTTAAGATAGAACTGAGATAGGCATTTTCATAGTATCCTCAGTTTGATTTGTATACATCTTTAAATGAATTTCATTTGTTTTGAATTGTTTCTAACTGTTAAATAACTTTTATAATTTAAATAATGTTTTTGTGTAGCTTTAAATCTTTATTGTTTTAGTAAGTTGTTAGCTTCCTCAAGTTCCATAACTGGGAGAAAAGGAAGGATCTAAACATATTCATTAAATAAACTAATTAACGTGGGAGGTTGATATTACAACACTCATAACCAAGGGGAACAGACAAGAGCTGGTCCTGAAATCCATTTCAGCACAGATACCATTTGACATTGCACACTAGTACGTATTTCTCTTTGGTGCTAGATAATATATGGACAATAGGAAACTTAAGTTCACCTTTGGCTACAGTGTTCAGCAATTCAGAAATTCTGGGAAATATAATTTACAAGGATTATGAAAATTATAATTCAGAACCTAATATATTGTGAAAAATTACTGCTGCTATCAGTATTCACAGGAGTAAATCAAAACTATGTATGTGGCTTGAAGTTGCCTGTCAGTGACCCCAGGAGTTCTTATATAGGGAATGAAATAGTTTTGGCAATCCCTTACCTGAAATATAGCCCACAGCATCTGATATTTAATGAATGTCTCTCACTCAAGTACTTACCAAACTTTTCAAGATCAGATCAGATCTGATGCATTTAGGCAAGAAGATGCACATTAATCACATTTTAGATATATATGGCTAGAACAGAATTTACTAAAAACGAGACATAGAATGCTGGTGGAAAAATATGAATAATGGAAAGGTTAACACGTATGTATAGGCCAGTGCAAAATAGACAAGAGTAAATAATTTTGGAACTTATATACTATATAATCAAACATAAGGAAGAATGGGAACCACTAAAGATGCACTCATCATTTTGAACGGTATTTTTAAAGGTTGGATCAAATATTACATTTGTCATTTGTCATTTATTGTTGCTTACATGAAAACACTACTAGAATATATAATTCTATATAATTATTTTGAAGATGTTCTCCATTCTACACTAGTATCACTTTAGGGAGGAAAGAGGTGCCAAGGGGAAAGAGACAAAAAGCCCTTCCCATTGAACTTGAGCACTGTTATTCTACAGATATTTGAATCGATGTCGATAAGATATACAAGGTGTTTATTGGAATTTTAATTGTAAATGGGCTACAGTAAGTTTTAGTTCTTGTAATTTTCTTGTTTGCATTTCAGGAAGAGCTTTATTTTTGGAGAGGGGTTGGTTTGATTGTGTGTTTTTTCTCTTCTCCCCTCCTTCAGGAATGGGATAACAAACTGCCGTATGCGGACAGACAGTGAACCATCGTGTGGCTCTCCAGTAGTTAGCGGTGATCCGAAGGAGGACCACAACTATAGCAGTGCCAAATCTTCCAACCACAGGAGCACATCGCCCACTAGTGACTCCGTTTCCTCTTCCTCTGCCGATGACCATTATGAGTTTGCTACAAAAGGCAGCCGGGACAGTAGCGAGGGCAGTGAGGTCAGCTTCCATAGCCACGAGAGCCATAGCGAGGCGGAGGAGGAGGACAAAAGACAAAACCGAAAAGAGACCAAGGATTCTTTAGCTGACAGTGGATATGCCTCTCAGCACAAGAAACGGCAGCATTTGTTGAAGGCAAAAAAAGTACCAAGTGACACACTGCCTCTTAAAAAGAGACGCACAGAGAAACCCCCAGAGAGTGACGACGAGGAAATGAAAGAAGCCGCCGGGTCACTCCTGCATTTGGCGGGGATTCGGTCTTGTTTGAACAACATCACCAATCGGACGGCGAAGGGGCAGAAAGAGCAAAAGGACACCACAAAAAATGAGAACAAATCCATTGATTGAACTTAGAAAACAATTTCGTTTCAGCACGTCAGGTGAATTCTAATGATTTGTGGCAATATCAACAAATATATTCTTTGTTCCTTTTTTTTTCCTTTTCCCTCTTTCTCTTTTGTGTTTGTTTCTTTGCGGAAACCCTTAAGATTCTTTTGTTGTTATTTTTAAAGGAGATTGAAGCCATAGAACTCATACTGATACTCAACTAATTTTACAAAAGCTTTTCATGACATGAAGACAAAAAGAAAAAAAAAGTAAAAGCCAAAATTTGCCATTGCTTTCTCCTGCTTGGTCAGAAATACATGGCTGAATATGATCTGACGTCACCAGCTTATGCAAGGGGAATGAAATTCAGCACTTGAAAATCGTTTTAAACCTAGAAGAAATTGGTTAATTTGGAAATTGTTCAGGCCGGGCTCTTAAATTTATTTTAAGGCCATATAATTGGATTTATGGGTAAACCTGTCTAGAGATTTGGGGGAAGTCGAAGGCCGAGACATTGTCCCCAGAATCGAGAATTGTATCCTGGCCTCTGCTTGCAGTTGTGCCATAGAAATCTTGAAAGAGCCACTATAGACAGCTGCTGTACAGTAATGAACTACTAGTACTTCATGTACTGTATATGGCTTATAATGTGAAGACTTAATAACTTTTAAATTATGGAAAACTGAACTGTGTATGCAATGAGTTTCAGTGAAATAAGGAGAAAGGGGTGGAGGGGTAGGGTTTAGTGATATTCTTTAATCAATTAACTGTCTTCTATATTTAAATTAAACGAATGTTTTTTCAAAAGCCATAAGCCTGAAGATTGGCACTGCCTGCAAAAATATTATGGGAAAACAAGCTATGAGTTCTTAACTGCCTGAGTGAAAAGCAATCAAGTCTAAAGAAAATTATGAGTAGATATTTAAGGAGGTTCAAAATGAAGAAATCTTTTGTATAGGTCACAAATATTTGATCTCACTAGGGGAAAACATGCTACAAAACCTGCCACTAGTATTATATAACTTTTTATTTTCCAAAAAAAAATCCATGTTGGTTGGGCAAAAAATAGAAGGTAATATCTCATAGAGCTCCTTAATGTGCTCCTCAAAATGGGGTACCCAGTTAATGTCAGGATTCATCTCTGCAAAAAATAACAATATATTTCCAGTTGTAACCACTGTAGCAAACTCTGATCCACAAATGCATGGATTCCTTTCTGGGAGGGGCTTGGGAGTACAAAATAAAAAACCCCTTTTTAATTCAAAGATAACAAAAGTTCTTGTAAGGTAAATAATGTATTTAGCATGAAGCATGAATTATTTTCATATAAATATAGAGAAATAGAGAAAAGGCTATGCCTCTAATTTTTAAGCCCTTAGGCTTAGTTTGTTTTTTCGGGTTTTTGTTTTCATTTTGGATTTTTTTTCCTCTTTTTTTTTGGAAGCAGGTGTTTTTAAGGTTTAACCTTTTTCAGGGACAAATACTGACTGTTGGGGAACTTACTCTGCAATATTAAAAATAAAACTTCATGCTCGGGTAGGGCTTGGATGGTTGAATTTTATTGCCTTGTCTGCACATTCAGCCCCCTTCCCCTACTTCTCTGTTTTTCGAAACGTTTGTCCTTTCTTTGTCTTTACATGTATTAACATTACGCAATAATTTTGAGGGCAAGGCAAGTAGTGAGTGTGTATGATGAAGGCTCCACGTGGAGACACCGAATTGTATGAAGGGCGGGGAGGGATGATCACATACAATTTCGGTTGAGGGGAGACAATGACCACACAACTACTCTGCTCGTCTGCCATGTGGGAACAAGTAATGAAAGGGCTTTTATTTATGTTCATGAGGTGAATTTAACAAAAGTATGTAGAAGAACTGACTCACTGTTTATAACCCTACCAGTTTTGCACTGCATGACCCTATAAATGGGTTGAAAGCTTTGCAATAAGGCCATATTTTACTTTTGTTTTGCTTTGCTTCTCTTAGAAAACACTGGCATTGAATGCCATAAGCGTGATATGACTTTCAGACTCAGTGGCTAAGGGGTTTGTGCGCAATTTGCTTGTGTCAAAGACCCCGTTCCCTTATCAACCTGCCAGGCATCCTGAAACAAAGGCAGTAGGTCAGGTTGCCATTGGAAGAGTTAAGAAAACCAGTAGATGTATGCAAGCATGGGTCTGTTTTTCTCAGTGGAAATGGTGGCGATAGTGATGTTGTTTTTGAGAGCTGAGATTTTGCTTGGGAATGTTTAGACTGGAAGGAGAAATGTTGAAGACATGTTTGAAAGAATATCATGTAGCAGATGCAAATATTATGTTCCATGGAGTGCATACAGAGTGAATTAAGGAAGCTCCTTCTAACAGATTGGTCAAATATGGAGTGTCAAATGGGACTTGGTCCTTCAGCAGTTTCAACAAATGGTTTATGGTTTTATGAACACATTTGACATGTAGACACTAGTCATGTGCATTCGGGACTTACCTTGATCTGTTTCATGTCCCTGCTTTCGGAGGTCCCCCCAATCCATTTAGTTTTTTGTTTTTCGGGGCTGAAAGATCCGGGGTTATTTTCAGCCCATTGGGGGGGGGAGTGTAGCGTAAGGTGTGTCCTTACTTCGTGCTCGGCTGCAGGCCTTGCCAGGCCCGGGTGCATAGGCTCAAAGTCTGCACCCATAGGTCCAGACGCTTTGGACCTGCCGATGAGGATGTTGGGCCTACGTGCCCAGGCCTGGCAGGACCTGCAGCCAAGCACTGAGTAAGGAGTGCTCCTTATTTGGCGCTTGGCTTCTGGTCCTGCCAGGCTCCAGGTAATCAATGCTGTACCCGCTCCCGCTTGCCTTTCATTTTGCATTTTCGTTCCAGGAGGGGCCTTTCCATTTTGTGCCATCCCAATGGCAGAACAAAACAGAAATACAAATCAAACAAATGGGACAAATTTTGGGTCCATGACTAGTAGACACAGATAGGAAGAATTACATCTATTTATCACACACATGCAGCTAATACTTACCTAAGAAGGTACATTAGCATTTCATAGAACTAAATAGAAAAGAAACCATGTTAATGAGTTTAACAAAGCTTTTTTTTCTCTGGGCAAGAGTGCCATATATACATCCTTGTTCATATTGCCATGGAGACAGGTTAAGGCCAAGCAAATCTTATGAGATATGAAAATATGTGGCTGCCTGTTTAGGGGAATGAAGACATTATGCTGCCACAAGACTTGTAAATTAACACCTAGGAGGTTTCCGAACCCTGATTATAGTAGCTTAATTACCAGTATTATTGCACTTAGTATGTACTGTAGCGTATATAGAGCACCAGGGGATTAACAGCATAATGCAGCAAGTTGAAGTCTACATTGTGACCCAACCCTTTTCTGAATTTACAAGTTGAATTTGATCTACAGGAGCTACATGATGGACTTGGCTTTGCTTAATTTCCAGATTTTCCCCAATGACTAGAAATTTAAAATTGCAGCTGTGGATTCAGAATACAGTCCTATATCCTGATTTCCTATCTTCCATGAAATGTACTTGGACACTACTGAATCAAGTCACATTACAAATTCAGGTGCTATTGTACCTGTCTATTCCTCATATGCAATCCCCTTGGAACTATCTTCTCCTTATCCCACTGAAAAAGAAGTGGAAGTGTAGAAGTCCCTTTCATAACTGCCATTATATTGACAAGTCTTCTACAGAGGAAAACCTTACTGCCTGTTTAGTATTTCATACCTTGAGTACAATTCGTGTGTCATTCTAGTTTGCCTTGCAATCCTTTAACTGGACGCATACATTTGTTCTTTTTGTCCATAACACAAGTGTAAAACTATAATAATCCAAGTGATTTCAGTAGTTTCTTCTGAATTTATAATCAGTTATACTAGCACAAATGCTTGGTGCACAATAATTCTGTTTCATTTGGGGTTGTTTTTACTGTAGTGCTTTATGTTATTATTGTTATTATTATTTCTCCCTTTTCCCTCAAAGGGAACTGCCCACAACAAAATTTAACAATATAACTGGGCTGTACATTTTGAAAAAAAATCCTTATATGTATCAGGACATTTTCTTTTATATATTTTTATTTACTTTATGCCCCTTCCTAAAAATAATATTTTTTAAGGACACCAATTTATGCAAGTTAGTTCCACCATTATTCCTGTGCCTAAATTGAGGATTAGAATGTTTTAGACCTGCAGGCTTTTTGCAGGTGATATAGAGATAGATATTTGAATCCAAGTTCACATTATATTTGTACATGCATTTCATCATGCATTTCATTGCAGGGATTGTCATTTTATGAGTGGGAGAACTGCTCTTTTGTGGATGCCACAAAAACTTAGGTTAATATATAATTTTAACTATGTAGTATTCTCACAAGTGATGGGGAACCAATTCAAGTGGCAGACTTGATTTCCCCCTCCTCCCAACATCCCTATGAACCAAATATCAAATATTTGTCTTATGTTCCTTCACATCATAGGCACCTCTGATTAAACACTCAAGAAATCCCAATTTCATTATCCCCTTGCCATTCCAACTTAGTGAGTTTTGAGGCACAGAGCCCCCATGAAAGTTGAGGAAAAAGTTAAAATCCTTTTTTTTACCCTGACAAAACACTTCTCTAGGAATCTCTTGGTCCTCCAAGGTGACTATGGTCAACTTCTGCCAGAAGTTGATCATAGAATCATGTTAGCAAACCTAGATATTCCTAGAAAAATGTTCACTCTAGGAATCTCTACCTTCTTGAGCATGACTTTGTGATCCACTTCTGGTGGAAGTTGGCCATAGATGTGCTCGGATAGACGTAGAGATTCCTGGAGGGAACATACTAATCTGTGAAATGCAAAGACGTTAAAATCACCAATAATAAATGGTATAAATCCAATTGCTAATCTCAGATAGATTAGACCAGGCATGGGTAAATGTTGGCCCTCCAGATGTTTTGGACTTCAACTCCCACAATTCCTATCAGCCAGCTGTTAGGAATTGTGGGTGTTGAAGTCCAAAACACCTGGAGGGCCAAAGTTTGCCCATGCCTGGATTAGACCCACTGAATCAATTATTGAATAGAAATTCAGCAATATGTAAACTCTACTCATTCATTCGATCAACTCCAGTTGGGACTAGGTAGTAATTCCAGCATTATCTTCCATGGTGCTACATTTCTTTGCCTTGATGCCAGGCTGAAATTAAACCAGTTGAGTCTCTTTATAGACTGCTGCTGCACTGATGCTGTTGTTCCCATTCGATCTTTGGTGAGTGGTGTTCTCTATACTTCTCTGCCACTGCCATTTTCAAAACACTGGGGCATGAATTCAGTTTTCTGCATTCCTTCTCACAAAGGGCCATGCATACAGTGAGATTTCTGTATTGGGCTGATATGAGCACATCCTGCTATTACTCCTTTGTTTGGTAGAAAGAGGGAACCTTAAACCATACCGAATGACAGTACTGGCAGGTGAACTTTAGATGAGCAGTTTGCACTTGCAGGTAGTTGTTTCCTCACTCATTCAAGTTCTCTGCCTTGAATTGGAGAACAGCAAAGTGATTTGGAAGCCAAATAACCCACTGTGTGAAATGCTACTGTGCTCTTCCTTTACACAATTATTTCATTACCCGGCTGTGAATTGCCTTTAAAAAGTTATTGAGGTTAATAAATATATTTTTTGCATATAAAACAGTTGTTTTCAATAAGAAGATTAGCAAGGCGATACTCGCTTGGACACCGAGTAAGTCATTTCTAAGTTTAAATGTTTATTTACTTTTTATTTTAAGTATTCTTCTATTCCCAGATCCAGAGCCATTCATCCTTTTGGTTGAGTAGTAGTTAAGTGTGTGAGGTTTTTTATATATACATAAAAAAATCTTTCCCTGGAATTTGTAAACACTGTTATGCACATAAATGCAGCACTGTGATCTAATTTAAATAACTTTATTGTTTATATGAATATGTAACATACATTAATACTTTGCTACAGTGATATCCTTCCGCCAACCTTAGGCCATCTCCTTGCTTTCTACTGTAGAGAATAAAAGGCTGTGGTGAACAACACCATTTTGTTGTTTTTTCCCTTGTATTAATCAATTTATTGTTTTGATTGGGTTTTTTTAAAGTTGGATTTTATAAGTATCTACGGAATATTCTGTGCCACTGTCTATATGAACATTGCTCTTGTTCCTGGTATAACCCTCCCCTCCCCATTACTTTCGTTCTTGGTGGGAGTAGGATATCCTTATTGATACTCACTATCTTAAAGCACAGAATCATACCTGCAGTTGCTCTATAATGGTATTTCTATCAGCGTAATCTTTCAACAGCTCAGCAGTTTAGTTTACCAGCCCCAACTCCCTCATTTTTTGAAATAATGAACTGTCTATGGTGCTGTATGATATATCATAGGTCTGCAATTAAAATTACAAAATAAAAAGTCAAATTACAAAATAAAAAGTTGAAGCCACCTTCTCTTCCTCTACCACAGTGGTTCTCAATCTGTGGGTCCCCAGATGTTTTGGCCTTCAACTCCCAGTTTTGAAACCTTTTTTCTGCAATGTTTTTATATAGTGACATTGAACTTGGGAGAAGGAACTGTCCAGAACTGTTCAAATTAGTGCATATATGTCACAATTTTGCCTTTGTAGGTTTTTTGCTTCAACGCCTCTGCCACTTCTGAAATTTTAACAATTGTGTAGGCTCAAGGTATTTTTGAGTTAAGGTGAAGTTGAAAATGGAATTTAATTTCCAAGTATAACATAATGATGTCTTTACAAATCCTGACAGCTGGTAAACTGGCTGGGATTTCTGGGAGTTGTAGGCCAAAACACCTGGGGGCCCACAGGTTGAGAACCACTGCTCTACATCCTCCTCCTCCTCTTCTTCGCCATTATTCTCTGATCTAAACTATCATTTATTTTCACTGTACTGTATTTGCAAAGGAGTACAGGGGAGAAAATGTTTTCTTGCAATTCTGATCAACTAGTGTCATGCTAAGAACCCCACACAAAGACAGTATCCAAAATGCAGAATTATAGCAGTTTGACACATTCACTGTTATGGGTCAATGCTATGCAATTCTGGGATTTGTAGTTTTGTGAGTTATTTACCTTTCTCTATCAGAGAGCTCTGGTGCCACAATAAAATAGAAATCCCAGGGTTCCATAGGATGGAGCCTTGGCAGTGAAACACACTGTTAAACTGCTATAAGCATAGTTGGTCTACAAAGTCTTCAGACCAAAAGGACACACACAAAAGAATTTAACAATTTTAGAATTAAGTTTTAAGTTCACTGCTAATATTTTTTGTGGAGCAGGAGGAGCTGAATCCAGCCACTTGCCCCCACCCAGACAGCAAATTTGTAAAAATCTAATCTTTGTAATAACATAGCACAAAATAGATCCTTGCTATTGAACAGGAAAAATGAATTGTGAATTTATTTACATACCTTCCCATTGAAGTTAGGATCTGCATGGCATTTATATTACTCTTTACCAATACCTTCTACAAACTCATTGCTCCATATCAAGATAATAAATAATATAGCTAGTATAACTGAGATATTGGGTCTTTTATGACTTTGTGTTGAAATCTGGGTCCCCTCACCCTGTGAATCGGTTCCTATTAAAAATGGGAATTTCATGCATTTTTTAAAAAATATTCATTTATGACCTGCTTCCCCCAACTGCAAGCTTGCCAGTGGGGGAAATTGTTTCTGGTTTCACCTCTGTATTATACACACTCACTACTTCACTCTGCCTTGGTGTCAAATGTTGGAATGGAGAGGGGTAGGGAATTATTTCTATGTGTATGAAAAGCATTATGAACTTGTACATTTTTATACTCTTCTGTAATATTTTTGAAATATTTTTGTTCTGCAGAAAAAAGTGACAAAGCAATCAAAAGACCAATAAGTACAATATCAATGCTTTAGGGGTCATGAGACCTTCACTGGCCAATAGGTTAATTTAGTACAGCAATAAGCCATTTTTCCTTTTCTTTTTTTCTTCTTCTCTTTTTAGTTTTTAATTCTTTTTCTAAAAAAAATGCTGTACTACGTGTATGGAACTGCCAGTTTCATTAACATACAACGAGAACTGTGACAGGGGCATAAACAGTGATATTAAGTTGTATTTGTGTTTACCTAAATGAGCAGTAAAAAGGCAAGTGCAATCAGCCAGAAATATGAAAAAAAAGTTGATCTAGAGGCATACTTGCATTTTGCGTTTTCTTGATGTGTAATCATATTGCCAAAGACAAACTCTTTCATCAGTTATTATTGTAAATAACACTTTCCCAAAACCTACCATAAAGTTTCTGTGATGTATTGTCTTCCAGTTGCAATAAAAATTACTGAGTTGCATCAATTGAATAATTGCACTTTTGACTCGTGGATTTTATTGTGTCATTTATTTCAAGCATGTTCGGAGCCCTGCTTTAAGACTGGCAGCATTACTGAATTACATACCCAATTAAAAATATTATTGCTGAATAAAAATGACCTCAGGACCTTTTCAAAATAAACAGCCAGGCGAGGATGTCTTGAGGATATTGTCGGATTTAGATTTGGTTTGTTTGTCACATTTGTCCTTTTCCTGCAAATAGATGGAACATCATTGCACCAAATCGTCCTATTTCAGTTTCTATACAATCCCGACTAAAGGTAAGCAGGAAAAAAAATTGGGAAATTGGTACATTGGATAAAAAGGCACACCAAAGGTAAGTGATCAAGCTCATGGATATTAACCTTGAATCATTTATTTTAAAGACAATGAGTACGTTAAAACTTAGTATCGTTTACCAAATAACTCTTAAATGCAAGTTAGAGATAACTTGGGTTGAACCTGAGCCCTTAATGGAAAACCTGTGTGCTATGACCAAGCAATTGTCCTTTATCAGAACATTTTTGACCATGTATATAATTTTTTTTAAACCCCATTGTAAAGGTATAAAGGTAAAGGTAAAGGTTTCACCTGACATTAAGTCTAGTCGTATCAAACTCTGGGTGGTGGTGCTTATCTCCATTTCTAAGCCAAAGAGCCGGCGTACCTAGACACCTTCTACGTCATGTGGCCGGCATGACTACATGGAGCGCTGTTACCTTCCCACCAAAGTAGTACCTATTGATCTCACATTTGCATGTTTTTGAACTGCTAGGTTGGCAGAAGCTGGGGCTAACAACAGAAGCTCACCTCCATGGATTTGAACTGCCGACCTTCCGATCAGCAAGTTCTGCAACTTAGCGGTTTAACCCACTGTGCCACCACAGCCCTAATGTAGAGGTAGCAATTTAAATATATGGATCAGTTAGAAGAAACTTATTCCAGCTAAGCCTATTGCCCATTTTAGCCCACTACTATCTACTCAGACTGAGGTCTTCAGAATCCCGTATGAGAAGAGAAATTGGAGAAGTTCAGATCTTTATAAAAAATCACAATGGCCTGTACTACTGAGCTATTGTTTCTCCCAAATTCAGAGACTCTTTCAGGTTATCTACATTTTTAGATGAGTATAAGAAACTCCTACAGCTAATATCTCAACTACTGGCCATCCTGATGGAGGGATTCAGAGATGCAATTTTAAAAAACTAACTTCAAAGCTCAGAAACAGGTAGGGTGATAGGGGAAAGCTAGTCAGAATTGTTTTAAAAACTGGCATTTAAAAAAATAATGGACAAGGGTCTGGAGAACAAGCCCTATAAGGAGCGACTTAAAGAGCTGGACGTGTTTCGCTTACAGAAGAGAGAACTGAGAGGAGACATGATGGCCGTGTATCAAAATGTAAGTCATAGGGAGGAGGGAGCAAGCTTGATTTCTGCTGCCCTGGAGACTGGGATGTGGAACAATGGCTTCAAACTACAGGTAAGGAGATTCCACCTGAACAATAGGAAGAACTTCCTGACTGAGAGAGAACTGCTCAGCAGTGGAACTCTCTGCCCCAGAGTGTGGTGGAGGCTCCTTCTTTGAAGGTTTTTAAGCAGAGGCTGTATGGCCATCTGTCAGGGTTGCTTTGCATATGATTTTCCTGCTTCTTAGCAGGGGGTTGACTGTTTGGCCCATGAGGTCTCTTCCAATTCTATGATTCTATGAAATAATCTGATCAATAGAAAGACACAGTTGAATGTGAATTACAACACTATTGTCCCTTAACACAAGAGGATGGCCAGTGGTTCAAAAGAAAGCTTTCTGTAACTATTTGTTGAAAACGGCTGGCATCTAATTGACATTTAAAGTTTGGGGAAGTTAAGTTGAGGATTTATTTTTAGCATATGCTTTCACAGTTGTGTTTCTGTGCTTGTGGCTAACAGGACCTTGAATGATGTTTTTTCCTACTGCTTTGATAACATTATGTTACTTATCCCTCCACTACCATGGATTAGGCAATACAGGTATGACTACAGCAAGCCCCTCCCTGGTGTCAATTGCTGCTCTTGACATTGATTTCGACTGCACACCAGTCCCTCTGATTCATCAAAGAGCAACATATTCTCCCCACTAGAGCCACTTAAATTAATAACAAGCAAAAGCAAGACACAAGCCATTTACTGCAAACCCATGCTGGGCCGTTTTTTTAAGTGGGTAACAAGAGGGCATTTTTCTTCAACCCTGATGTGTCTGATTTCCATTCACCAAATGCTGATCACAACATTAAAATCCTGCTGTCCTGCATCTGTATGGCAACTACCCCCCATGTCCAACAACAATATCCATATTTCCCAGCTAGCATAACATTACATTGTATTGTACCCACTTATTTACATCACATCCTTTCCCCAGAACTGCAACTCAGGATGATTTACAAGACAAAGAACAAACAAAAACTTACATAAAGAGACTGTTAAATCATACAGAACTTTATATTGGAACTGTCTATAGAATTTAAAATATAATCAGGTAAAAGCAGAGGTTAAAAAAGAAGGACATTGCACTAAGAAACTACTTTTTCTTGAAAAATAGTTCTCCAAAGCCTGTTTGAATTAAAAGAACTTCACCTTGCAATGGAAGGATAGCAAGGAAGGAGGCAGTGCAGGCACCCTAGAAAAAGAGTTCCAGAGTCTGTGA